GATGTGGCAACTGCTATATCTTGGATTCATTTTAATAGTGATAAATATAGTTATCGAAGTGATAGGATGTACTTAGTTGGGCATAGTATTGGAGCGTTCTTATCTGCACAACTTGTATTCATTCCTGAATATCTCATTAACGCAGCAAGTTCTTATTTGAAAAATACTGAAAGAATTGAAGAATTGTTTAATTCAATTCGTGGAGTTGTCGGTATTGAAGGAGTTTATGATATACCATCGTTAGTAGAAAGTTGGCCTGATTATAAAAGTAAAAAATATATTGAACCAGCGTATGGTACAGATCCAGAAGTTTACAAATCAGCGTCTCCAGAATATCATTCTATCAAAGATGCAATTACTATACCCTCTTTTTTGATTATTCATTCTTTTGAAGATGAAGATGTTGATATTGGCCAGGCTTACAATTTTTATGAATATGTTAAACAAGGTTGTGAAAGTTGTGTGGAAATTGAAACTGGAATAAAGGGAACTCACAATAGCATTTTGAAAGAAAAGGAACTTGAGCTGAGAGTTGAGGAATTTATTTTGTTACAAGAAGCAAAATTAACCTATTCAACATAATTTGGTTTTATATAATAAATACCCAACATATGAATTCATCTACTTTGTTTTTATAAGATTAAATGGTATTCAGTAAATTTCGCTTTTGAATAGTTTTTTTGTTTTTAATATTTATGTTGGGCGCAAACGAATGAATTATAACCATCAAGTAGGTACTGTACTAATGAATTTCTGGATCTTGACATAATTCCGACAAACAAATTTATCTTTACAAAATGTTGTGCCTAGAAGACTTTTCAACCAGTAAAACCATTTTAAAATATCATAAATTTTGTACTTTTCGAGATACACAAATATAATTTTTTGATTTTATTTGTTCGCTTATTTTTTTTTTAAATTTTATTAATTACTTTTTTTTTTTTTCTCTTTTTACATAATGACAATAAAGTTTGTAATCGGTAAAGTTATATCGATGAGAATATAATGTACTTTATTTATAATATGACAACTACTTACATTAATGGAAATTTGAAAGTGATGTCTAACACAGATACACATTTGGCAAGACATTTTTTCGACCATATTTATCCGTGCCAGTAACATTTGAGCAAAATCTATCTAAAATATTAAATACGCTATTTTGAATGCTAGAAACTTAAGTATAATAATCTGTAAATAAAAGAAATAAAGATTTGGAATTATTTTACAAGGAATTATCTATGATTTATTTTCTGATTTAAAGACTGGTTTGATAAAAACCAATAAATATGCCCGCTACCATTACTGTATTGTGCTATGTCACTGAATACCACAAGAATTCTGCTCAAA